GTTCAGCTTTTTATTAGACCAATCAGGTGCCTTAGGCAGGCAAGGTAAAATAGCAATACATAGTTAAATAGTTAAACAAAGATTCTGCAACATAAACAACTGCAACACATCTTTACACAGTTTAGCAAATATTTCACAACATAAACAAATACAACATGTCTTTGCATAATTAAACCACACATCTTTGCATAAACAAATATCCTACAACATCAATTCTTATTTCTCATCTTGTTTCATTCCAGTTCAAACATTTTTCTGAGTCCTGTGTGTACCAGACACTATGTTCAGAGTCAGAGACAGACGGCCTGGTGCTATCCCCAAGAGACTCAGCATCTACCCAACCAGGTAGTCTAGGAGGTGGGCTTTGAGAACCAAATGGGGAACATGATTCCCTTGAGAACATAGCATTGCTCACAGAGTCAAAGAAGATTCTAAAAGTATGGGTGCCCTGAAGAGGTGACGGGAAGACCACCAAGAGCTGACTCTACTCAGGCAGTGCTTTAAGACTGTGCTGACCCCAGCACAGTGAAATGGAACAGGGTTACATCAACAATAGACCATGCTTCCGCAGGCTTAACCAGAACAGCCACCTCTCACAATGAGCACATGGGCCAAAGACTTAAGGTAATGTGTGCTAAGTAAAGAAGTCAATATTCAAGCAAAGTACTTAAATTTGGTTCATTTATGCTTAAGTAAATATGTACACCCACCAAAATGAAGTTGTATGTATAGGATAAAACACTGGGAACATGATGTGGGATTCCCCTCTGTATGCTATGAATATGTTTTATTACCATTGGTTAATAAAGCTGTTTCAGCCAATGGCTTAGCAGAGTAAAGCCAGGCAGGAAATCCAAACAGAGATACAGAGAGAGAGAGTAGGCGGAGTCAGGGAGACACCTTGTAGCTGTCGAAGGAGAAAGATGTTCCAGAACCTTGTCAGTAAGCCACAGCCTTGTGATGATACACTAATTAACATAGATGGCTTGATTTGACATGTAAGAGTTAGTTAAAAATAAGTCTGAGCTAATAGACCAAGCAGTGTTGTAATTAATATGATTCCTGTGTACTTATTCAGGTCTGGGCAGCCAGGAATGAACAAGCAGCCTCCGTTTACAAAATTCATCTACTCAAATGTCAGTGTCCAAGATGAGCTGGATGTCAGCAATAAAGAATAACAGGCAGTGGGGTATGGTGGTATAAGCCTCTAGCCCTATCCAAGAAACAGAGGCAGAAGAATCCAAGTTCAAGGCCAGCCTAAATTAAATAGTCTCAAGAAGAGAGGGGAAAAAAAAGATGATCCTGTATTACTCCAGAATTTATTTGGAAAGAACACAACACTGGGGCCGGAGAGGTGGCTCAGATGTTAAGGGCACTCACTGCTGCTATTGAGCACCTGGGTTTGGTTCAATCACCCACATGGAACCATCTGTAACACCAGTTCCTGGGTGGGGATGTGATACCCTCTTCTGACCTTCATGACCACAGCATGCATGTAGTACACAAACATACAAGAGACCAAGCACCCATACACATAAAATAGATGATTTTTAAAAAAGAAACATAATTCTACACACTCAAAATACCTGTGTACAGCTTTGTTCCATTTCAACTCAGTCAGGAAAGAGAGAGAGAGAGAGAGAGAAGAAAGAAAGAAGTCACTAACCACTGCTCAACACATTCAAGAAATGCACAGGCCCTTGCATGCAGCTCAGTTGGTATAGCACTTGCCTAGCATGCAGAGGTCCTGAGTGAAAAGGAGGGGAGGGACCCCAAATTCATTCTCCAGTAGTGTATAATCTGTACAAGGTGGCCCACACCTGTGATCCAAGCATTCAAAACCTTTAACGACTCAAAACCTGTCTCAAAAGAGAAAGATGGGAAGGAAGGAAAAGAAGCTGGAGCAGGTGTAGTCTATGCAGCCGTCTACAGCACACTGAGCAATCTAAAGATTACTGGAGTCATAGGTTTAAAGGCGTTGATTGACAATAACGTAATTATTTAGGCTTTTTCCTCACCCGTTGATTGAACAGGCAAGGTGGCTTTTAAAGTCTTATTCTACTCCAATCAGCAAATCTTTTAATCACACTGAGCACCAATCAATCATAATTCACACCGCCCTCCACTGTGAGTTTTGCACTTTATCAAGATCTCAGGTTAGAAAAGCAAGTCCTGTAATACAGCTAGGTCTGAAACCTAAAAAGGTTTCTCCTTAGAGAAGTCAGCAACTTCATTTATAAAAGAAAACAAGACGAGGGGTCCATAAACGTTTCGTGAGACTAAACAGTAAGCACACAGCACATTTAAACCAGAGGCTGCTGTCCCACCTCTACACACAGAAAAGCAGGTATGTATGTGCACCATAGACCAATGTTTACATGAGAGCTGCGACCTTCCACGAATACTGTAATTCTCATGAAGTAACACAAAACTAAAGTTGAGACATAATTCTTACCTCTCCATGTTTTTCAAAAAATTCACTTTTATGTCGATGCAATGTATCAATAGCCTTGGTTAGGATCTGTGGTGTTCTGTCCTTAATTGTGAGATATGCAAATGACCTAGAAGAGAGAGTCACAGTGACACTAGCATAGGAAAGTCACACTGCACCTTCAAGTTTCCGGACACCTCATTTGGATTCAAATTTCTTTGTATACATATTAAAGGCAAACCAGTTTTATCTGCTTTATAAAGAGGTACGGGTCTGCGAATGAAGCTCAGCTGGGAGAGGTTCATATGAATGAAGCCCTAACACAGGTAAAACACAGTGGCGCCCCACTGTGATCCTAGAGGGCAGGAGGATCGATAGTTTAAGGCCATCCTGGAATACTTAAGACCAGTCTGGAGGAAGGAGGGAGGAAGAGAGGGAGAAAGACGGACAGAAAGACACAGAAAATTTGAAATCTCTCTAATGTCATGGGAACTAAGCAGACTATAATACCAGGTTCTGCCCCAGAACTCTGTTTAATCATTTTCTGTCTATTCTTTTCATTTTCTTTTCCTAAATCAGAAACTGCTTCAATAATGTGTAAGTTCAAAGAGGCTCCAATTCCAGGCCTATCACAAGGGATTTCATCTACTTAGAAAGATGGAAAGGGAAATGGGAGTAAAGGAGCCGCAGGGTGCTCGGGCCTGGAACAGCAGAGCAGTGAGAAAGACTGTTTCACTCCTGTCTAACCCTTAGCTATTTCATTTTCCCCGTAAAGGATTTCCTCACTGTCTTCTCTACACAGAGAACTATTACCGACCCTCAACAAATACGTACATGGAAGTCTCTCCCTCCTGCTGAAGAAGTGGCGACTTTACACCAGTGTCGAGAATGAAGCAAGATGCAGATGAGGAAAACCTATTCTTGCATCAAAGTACAAAGTCATCTTGACTCGACATTAAAAAAAAAAACACAAGATTTACATAATTTTTCCTTTAAGGACATGCAATCCCATTCTTATCACTTTTAGTTGTGGGGAGGGGGTCTGTGCACGTGCCTGCAGGGCCAGGGGTCTAGAGCTGGAGTTGTTACAGTTAGCTGGGAACCACCAGACCTGGGTTCTGGAACCAGACCTGGGTCCTGTGCAAGAGCAGGGCTTGCTCTTGATGACGCAGCCCTCTGCCTGGCTCCTGAAACACTAACTTTTTAACATAGGGTACAGGGCTTAGCTGGTCAGTTTCTCTGCCCAAATCAGCTCTGTTGAATTTAAGCAATTATTTTCTTCAAACTCAAGCGCCTTATTCTGGCTTTTTAAACTATTGCGCCTAAGCATTTCTTCAGAAGGCTTCCTTGGACTCTGTGAGTCTCGGGGAAGCTCTGGCTTCCTAGGACCTGCATGCTTAGCCATTAGTACTCCTGTCAAAGGGGATGGGGAAAAGGACCTGATCAACACGTGGACTTTCTAAGGCAGCAGAAACAGAAAGTGGCAGCCCTTTCTGGAGATGCCTGGAAAGCCTTATTTCTCTATCACCCTCCCCACCACCACGCCAAGTACGTAGAAGAAAGCTGTAGATATGAGACTTGTAGGCTTCCACTAGCGAACAACCTCTGACGGTATTTATTTTGGGGACCAGCGAGATGGCACTAGGTAAATCTGGACGCCTGAGTTCTAAATTCCTCGAATTTCTATGAAGGTTAAAGGAAAATGAAAAACAATGAACTCCACAGAGCTGTTCTCTAACCGCCATTGAGAATAACGGTGTGCTCACACATATACACACCCGGACACGGACGGACACACACACACACACACACACACACACACGCATTTAAGACATTTTTAAATTTTGTGAGAGTATTAGTTTGACCCAAACCATAAGTACACGAGTCCTAAATTTTAGCCCCCGCAGGGCTATGCCTCCTCGCTGGTTTAGTTTGAGGCAGGCTTTCCCTAATGTACCCCCGGGTGGTCTTGAACTCATTACTAGAGCGAGCTGGCCTCAACTCGCAGCAGTCCTCCTGCCTCAAGTTCCGAAGCGCTAGCAATACGCGACAGCACGGAAGAAACTACAGGGCAGGTCCTGAGGCTGGCGAGTGCGGCGTGCCGGCTCCTTTCCAGCCAAGGCGGGACTCGAACTTTCAGCATCACAGGGTCAGTCCCCCGACCGTCCACAGCTTCCTCCCGCCCCAACCCGGCTTTAACTCAGAAGTGCGCAATAGAAAAAGCGAGACGCACCCCACTTCCTGAGCGGAGAGAAACGACGGGGACTCGGCCATGGCTGGCGACACGCGCCGCACACCGGCGTCGCTCCGGGTTCAACCGCCGCCGCCGCCGGGCCCAGAAAGAGAAAGCTGGGGCTTTAAGAAAAAAAAGGAAAAAAAATGCGTTTTTGAATTAAAAAACTTTATTTGGTGGCCCGGCCAGGGACAGAGCACGGGATGCAAGAGCCTTCCGGCTACGCGACCGGAAGCCCGAGACGACCGGAGGCGCCCAGCGGTAAAAGGGGGGGGGGGGGAGCACGGGGAGGTCACGTGGTCTGGCTGTCACGTGTCCCGGCTTCCAGGCCTGGGGCTCGCGATGCGCCTGCGCCGCAGCGGGGCGGGGCGGAGCGTGTTTCCGCAAAGGCTCCTGCGGCGGGAGCGTGCGCGCGGGCTCTGCCGTCCTCCTCTCCGCGCACAGGTCAGTGCTTGGCGCTTCCCCGGCACGAGGGGCTGGCGAGGAGGTGTGGGCTTCGGCCGGGACCGCCGGAGGTAGCCGGGAGGCGAAGCACCTAGGACAGAACACTCCTGACCCCTCGTCGGGATCAGGGCATGGTGGTAGCCGTCACAATGCTTGAAATCACCCGTGAGCTTAGGAATTGGAAGATGTGCTCCCAAAGGTCGGCACCATTGGCCCATCGGATCGAACCGGGACACAACTGCCCTCTTAATTGATAGTATCCTGAATCTCATACATGCATACAATTATTTTGATAATGCCAACTACCACCCCCAGTCTTCCCCACGAACTCCTAGACCTACGCCTCTTCTGTGTCCCCGTCTCAACTTAATGGAAAAATATAAAACGCTGAGCCCAATTAGTGCTTTCCTTAGGCATACACGGGCATATTGTTCTTAAAGATAAGTGCCCAATAACGGTAGCTGCCTTGTGTTTGATTTTAAAAATTTAGTTGGCACCTATGCCCTACTATCGCTGAACACAAGAGTACACACACAGACACTTACTTTGAGGAGAGAGAGACAGAAATCGCCGTTATTGCTTTCTGATATCACTGTCGTTATCTAATTTGCATTATATTGATTTGCCACATCTGCTGTTTGCCATTCCCAGTAAAGCGACCTTTGCACGATTTCAGTTGGATTAGGAGCTAGCATAATGCCTAGGACATTAATGCCCAGCTCATAACCGTTGTATGAATTCATAAAGATAGAAGGTATGTAGGTGATGTTAAATGCCATGAGAACGTAGAAAACGGAGAAAGAATGGGTGGGCATTAGTTCTGTGGACCTGAAGAGCTGAAGGAGGCAAGGGAGGGAGCCTGGCAAATCCTTGGGAGGAGAGACTGAGGACAGCTAAGTACTAAGACCCAGATGTGCCCAGGGGGCCTAGAACAGAGCAAGCAAAGGCAAGAACTGTCGGGAACTCTACAGTGATGCAGAAGGCTGTGAACATACAAGCTCGGGAGGCCGTCTTAGGGGCTTTGGCTTTTAGTGTAAATGTAAAAGCAGTCTTCAGATTCGATACTGGAAAAAATGTAAAAGCAGTCTTCAGATTCGATACTGGAAAAAGACACGGTTCTAGTTAAGGTCTCAGGATTTTGCTAGAGTCCGCTGTTAGGAGGCCCAGTGTGCAGTCGCCTTTCTTGTGAAAAGTTGTGTGAAGGGGAGACAGCTTAAGGGAGGGGCTTGCCACTCCGCTACAGTCCATTACAGCGGATTAGGCATGCTGACAGGAGCTGGCCACCTTCCTTGCACGGCTAGAAGGCAGGGCGATCAAGGCTGGCACTGTACTCTACTGTGCCCATGCATAGTACCATCCACACTTCAGGTGGGTCTCCTCGCCTCAGTTAACCTCCTCTACAAAGTCCATCACAGACACAGTCAAGGGTGTGTCTCCATGGTGATTCTAAATCTAGTCATGTACGGGTCAGCCATCGTAAACAGGTAAAGAGCTATTATAATAACCAGTGGGAAAGACAGGAGAACCCGTGCAGAGTACGGATCAGAAAAGGCCTGCAGGATTTATTGACAGATTGAATGTGGGGACTGAAGAGAAAAGCTCAAGGGAATTCCAGATTTAGGGCTAGGATTGGCACGTAGATGGGGGAAGGTGCAGTTCGGGTGTTTTTGTGGAAGAGTTGGCATGCTCAGTGTTGAGCAGGTTACATTTTTGATGCTTAGAGTCATCTGGAGCCATATTTAATATGTGCTACTCCTCAGTGACGGTGTGTCATTGGCCAAGGTCACCAAGAGACTGACAGGAAGAGAAATGACTCGGAGACTGAGTCCCGATGTGTCTCATTCTTGAATGGATGCGTAACTAGCAAAAGAGCCCAGGAGATGAAAACAGCCAATGTGATATTCTAGACGCCAAAGAAAACGGGGTGGGGAGCAAGTTCCAGGGGATCTGATGCCCTCTTTTCTTTTTTTTTTTTTCTTACTGATTTTATTGAGCTCTACATTTTTCTCTGCTCCCCAGCTTTCCTCTCCCTCCCCTTCAACCCTCTCCCATGGTCTCCATGCTCCCAATTTACTCGGGAGATCTTGTCTTTTTCTACTTCTATGTAGATTAGATCTATGTATGTCTCTCTTAGGTTCCTCGTTGTTGTCTAGGTTCTCAGGGATTGTGAATTACAGACTGATTTTCTTTGCTTTATGTCTAAAAGCCACTTATGAGTGAGTGCATGTGATATTTGTCTTTCTGGGTCTATGTTACCTCACTAATGATGTTTTCTAGATCCATCTACTTTCCTGCAAAATTCACGATGTTGTTATTTTTTCTGCTGTATAGTACTCCATTGTGTAAATGTTTCACATTTTCCTTATCCATTCTTCAGTTGGAGTCATTTAGGTTGTTTCCAGGTTCTAGCTATGACAAACAATGCTGCTATCAACATAGTTGAGCACATGTCCTTGTGGTACAATTGAGCATCCTTTAGATATATACCCAAAAGTGGTATTGCTGGATCGTGAGGTAGGTTGTTTCCTAATTTTCTGGGAAATCACAATACTGATATCCAAAGGGATGATGCTTTCTTCTGACCTTCATGGGCACCAGGCATGTACATAATATACAGATACGTGCAGGCAAACACTTATACCCATAAATAACAAAAATTGTAGAAGAGGGTGGTTGACCAATGGGCACAACAGCAATGGGTTGCATGCTGATGATCGCTGAGGGCTCATCTTGTAAAATTTCTGTTTCTGTTTTGTTAGTGAAAGAGGAAGCGGGCTGGAGAGATGGCTCAGATGTTAAGAGCACTGGCTGTTCTTCCAGTGGTCCTGAGTTCAATTCCCAGCAACCACATGGTGGTTCACAAGCATGGCAGGCATACGTGCAGTACAGAACACTATATACATAATAAATATATAAATCTTTATTTTAAAAACGAGGAAGCAAGGTTATCGTTGAGAATGAGAAACAAGGGGGAGACGTGAAGATCCAAGGAGAGGGGAATCCGCAGGAAATAGCAGGGATAGGGTCCTGAGCAACATAGAAGACCCACCCGAAGAGAGTGGCCCTGGCTGGAGAGCGAGATGGGAAATGGTTAGTTGGCTGCCTCGTGAGCTGCAAGAGCGTAGCCACAATTTAGTGTGGGAGCTGGAGTTCTTTAGGACTGGGGTTAGGGGAGGCATTCATGGGGAATGGGAGGATTATAAGAGTAGACCTGGATGTGAAGATCAAAGCAGGGGAAGAAAGACTGAAAGTTGTAGGTCCTGCCTAGGTGGGAGAATTGTTAGCTTTGGGTGGGAGAAGGAATGGACTGGAAAGATGGGGGGCAGTGTTTGGGGGAGTGACAAGTATAAAATCAGAAACCTGGACCACACTTACAGGAAACACCAGGGAGATCTTAAGGTTTCTAGACCATGCAATGATAAAAGAAAAAAGTGGATAAAATTAGCTTTAATAACATAATCTTCTTTACAGGTACCTAAGATAGTGATAAGAATCTGGTCCTTGCAATAAGGAAAGCCTGGCTGGCTTCGCTTTCTTTAGAGATGGGGAGAGTTCACAGACACCACAGCATGTGGAGGTCAGTCGGAGGGCGGCCCACAGGAGCCAATTATCTTTACCCTGTGGTTTGGGGTGTTGAACTTGGGCCATCAGGCTTACCAGCAGACATGTTTACCCACTGAGCCATCTCTCCAGCCCTAAGCAACTCCTTTAGCCTCTAGACCTCAGTTTCCCCCTCTGGGAAATGTCTCCTGGGCGGCGTATAGCGTGTGGAAGTGCTGGAATGTCACATCTAAGTTTTCCTCGGTTCTTCCTTCACATCATTAGCGGAGACATGTTTCTGAATCACACACCTGACCACACAATTCCCTTATTTCAAACCCTGTGGAGCCCGTAGGATCATTTAATGTGCCATGTGGTATCCGGCCACTTTGATTCATCTCCTGCAGCTCACCTCTCAGCTGAGGTTGGTTGTTCTCATCCTGTTTGTTAGATAAAGAATACTGTGTACCTGACCTGTTTGCTTTGCTGGGCTCTCTGCCCTTTCATGAACCATTGTAAATGTCATCTCTGAGTATGTCACACTCCTGACCCCAGGACCTCCCTTGTCAAGACCACGTACCCTTTGTACGTCATATTCTGTCACTATGGCTGGACTGTGAATTATAAAGTCTCTGATCAATGCTTGTATCTTTGGCACCTAATATTTAAGAATTGTTATCATCACTTACTGTAGGTAAGCTTTTTAAAAATGTGCTATTTTATATTGTAAGACAGGGAATCACACGTAACAGCCCATTTCATTTGGGCTGTGTGTGTGCTTACCTGTCTGATATGCCTAACACCACTCCTTATGCCCAGCCCCAAACTGAATAGCGCCTTCCCCCTTAAAAAAAAAAAAAAAGCCAGTCTTCTTTCTGGGAGCCTTTCCTGTAGAACTGAGGGAGCCTTTTCTGTTTGCTCTGCGTCTTGTGCTCAGCTGTGTGGTTTGGGCTCTTCCATGGCATTGTGATGAAAAGGAAAAAATGCCCAGTTTCTCCAAAGGCTAGAATATGATGGCAGGGGTACTTGACCTTGGATGCACCTATGGCCTCTGCTAGTTGATGTTTTTTGTTGGTTTGATTTGGTTTGATTTTTGTTTTTCTAGACAAGCTTTCTCTGTGTTATAGCCCTGACTGTCCTGGAACTCGTATCATAGACCAGACTGGCCTTGAACTCACAGAGGTCGCCTGCCTCTGCCTTCCAACTAGTTGAATGTGTAAGTACAGGTTGGTGTGTGTGTACGTGCGTGTATGTTGGCTTTGTTTGGAGTTTTTTGTTTGTTCCTTTGCTTGGTTTTGTTTTTAAGAGAGGGTCTCCATATGTATCTCTGACAGACTTGGAACGCACTATGTAGAGCAGGATAGCCTTGAACTCACCGGCCTCTGCCTCCCGAGCACTGGCACTAAAGATATGCACCATCACACCCAGTTTTTTAAATCTTTAAGATTACAAAATAATGAAAAGGTTCCATACCTTTTTCTCTTTTAACATCTTTGTTGTTGAGAATAAATTTATGATTTTATAATCTTCCAGAAAGACACCAAATAATGACTTAATGGGGAAAAAAGAGTGTTTGTGTGTGTGTGTGTATTTTTTGCATGATTGTGTAAACCAGAACTTTGTTTATCCTAAATAAGTACTCTACCACCAAACTATGACCTTTGCCATTTATGTAATTATATATGGGTATGTGTATGTATGTGTGTATATGTATGTATGTGTGTGTATATATAGGATTAGGTTATAATATTTCTGTTTTACAATTTTTATGAGTGTGTCTGGCTTGTATGTTTATGCACCTCGTGCGTGTCAGAAGAGGGCACAATGGATGGTGGTGAGCCACCGTGTAGGTGCTGGAAATTGAACCTGTGTCCTCTGCAAAACCAAGTGCTGGATCTGGTGTAGGTGACTTCAGTCCTAGCATGCAGGAGTCGGAGTCAGAGGATGTTTATGCATTTGAGGCCAGCCTGGCTTCCGAGTGGGTTCCAGGCCAGCCAGGACCGCTTGTTGGGAGACTCTGTCTCAGAAAACAAACAGAAAGCTGGCTGGTGGTGGTGCACTCTTTAGTCCCGGCACTCAGGAGGCAGAGGCAGGTGGATCTCTATGAGTTCGAGGCCAACCTGGTCTCCAGAGCTAGTTCTAGGACAGACTCCAAAGCTACATAGAGAAACCCTGTCTTGACAAACCAAAACCAAAACAAAAACAAAAAGGAAACAGAAAAAAAAACACTTGCTCAGGGCTGGAGAGATGGCTCAGCAGTTGAGAGCACTGACTGACTCCTCTTCCAGAGGATGAGGATTCAGTCTGCAGCGCCCACATGGCAGCTCACAACTGTCTGTAACTCTACCTCACACAGACACACATGCAGACAAAACACCAGTGCGCATAAAGTAAACCATTAAATAAAAAAGAACATGCGCTCTTAACTGCTAAGCTCTCCCTCCAGCCCATGTTGTACAAATTTTTAACAGAAATATGTGTTTCCTAAGGAAATATATGTGTATCTTAAACATATTTTTAAAATCCAGCCTGACTTTTTAACTCTTTTGATTGCAGCCTGAGATGTGGTCATGCCAGGCAGACTTCTCCAGAGCCTGGCCTCTTTACACAGCGTGTCATCAAAAGCCCGTCAGTGCAGGAGGCTCCCTGGGCTCCCGTTAAAACCACGTTCGGAATCTGGAAGCGCAGCATGCCGGAGCACCCTGAAAATACAGACCCATTTCGGTTCATTCTGTCCTAGTGTAAGAGCTGACAGCTGGAATAAGCCAAAGATCCTGGGAATGAGCTGGATAATACCAAACGCAAGCGGACCCTCTCCATTACATGTTGGCCGTTGTTGGGATGGAGAAGCACGTCTGCCGGCCATGTGCCCCTTTGGGACTCCCAGGAAAGTGACTTACAGACCAAATCTCTTATGCTCTAAGTGGTTTATAAAAACAGTAAAAAGGCATTACTCTGTATCGACAGATACACTTGTTCCAAAACAAGACCTTCCACAGATCAAGAGGCCCCTGAAGGCATCCCGGACCCGTCAGCCATCCAGGAGCAACCTCCCAGACCTTTCTGTGAATGAGGTAAAGCCTACTAGTTCAGTGCCCCCTGAGTGCTTCTGTTCTTGTGTGCCCTCTGTGCCTGAATGTGTTGCACCATACCCTCACTACCAACATAGAGCAACTGGGCAACCAGCTGAGAATTCTGTTCGAGACCTTTGAAGCGTGACATAGCCAAACCAACAAAAAGTTTATCTTGCAAGAGCTAGTTGCCTGTATCACGTGTGGCACAAAAGGCCTCCGTCATTTTTCAGGGGGGTTGGTGAGGCCTGAGACAATTAGAAAAGGCGCATCCATCCAGTCCAGCCAGGGTGCAGCTGTGAGAATACCTGCTTCGTGTTGTGGTGGTTGTTGTTGTTGCTTGCTTGTTTGTTTTTTTTAAATTGAACCAGAGGCTGGGGAGGGAGGTGGTGCACATATTTATCCCAGCACTCTGGAGGCAGAGGCAGGCAGATATCTGTGAGTTCGAGGCCAGCCTGGTCTACAAAGCAAGTTCCAGGACAGGCTCCAAAGCTACACAGAAACCTTGTCTCAAAAAAATGAAAAACAAAACAAGAATTGAACCAGCAATGCATCAGGAAATTGAGATTTACCTGCCAACCGGCAGATGTTTGTTACCAGCCTGTGGTGGCTGCTCAGGGTGAGGAAATGGCACAGCAGACAGAATGGAAGCAGTCAGGTCTTGCTGGTTTACCCTCTAGAAGTTCAAGAATTTTTTGGTATTGATTTTTATTCACTGTTAAGGAGTTTCCGAGATTTTTTTTCAGGGGCCATTTGCATTTGTCCTCCAAGCTATAAACAGTTTAGGGTCAGAGTCAAGGCCTTTGTTCACTTTGTATCTTGAATGATGTCTTCACCATGCCTTGTACTAAGATGAGAAAAGAGGCAAAAGGCCTTTACTGTCTGTAGGGTTGTAGGTGGCGCTGCACATATCCAGTCTCCATTTCAGCTCAGGAGGCTGAGTCAGCTGGAAGATCTGTTTAGCAAGGTCCTGTTTGCAAAGAAAAGAACGTGCATGTTTCAGCCTTGGTTGGGCCTCCTGAATATGTCAGAACAGTCAGAATGTCTGTCTTCAGTCTTGAGAGGCTGGCCCCTGAGCGTGTTTATATTGATGGAGCTTGTTTTAACAGATTCTGAAAAGGGAAACTTTGTCAAGCACCTCGTGGCTCAGAAGGCTGAGACAGGAGGATCAAATTTGAGGTCAGCCTTGGCTATATAGTGAGACCTACTTTCAAAAGAAAAAGAAAGTACAAGCTGAGGCCATGATTAATCCCAGCACTTGGGAGCCTGAGGCAAACAGATCTCTGAGTTCAAGTCCAGCCTGGTGTGTGTGTGTGTGTGTGTGTGTGTGTGTGTGTGTGTGTATATATCAGGTTTCCGCCCAGCCAAGGCTAAATAACAAGGCCTTGTCTCAGTAAAAAGAGAAAAACCATGCCACGGTGCATATGCCTGGTTGTTGGGCATTGAAGGACTTCATGAATGGCTTGTATTTGGATCCCAGTTTGGCTTCACTCCTGTGCTGCCTCTACCCAGACTGTCACAGATGGCAGTTTCTGCAGCAAGGGCCTTCTGTCAGAGCCTTGGGGTGCTCTGCCAGTTAACGTAGCCTCCAGCCTTCTTACCTACCTCCGCAGAGGTGGAGCCGAAGGGTGCACATTTTGAATCAGAGTTGGTGTTCCCAGCATCCAGTCCCTATCATGAATTCACCCAGAGCCCAAGAGTTATCTTAATAGAATAAAGAGCATTGCTTTCATGCTAAAAATTCCAGGGGGTATGGAATGTGTGCCAGGAACAAGAAGAGACTTAAGTGATGCTCCAGTGTCCCGTATCACTAGGGAACTACACTGGTTTCAGCTCTACGGGGAGCTAAGGATGAAGGCTAAATCCAAGTTCCTTCTGTCCTAGTGTCAGAAAAACGGAAGCAGCATTGCCATGCAGGCTGCTCGTGCTGCAGGAGCGACACTCTCAAATAGGAAGCACATAGATTGCTAGCTCCATCTGCTGGACCGTGTGTCTTCTGTAGCTAGAGGAGTGATCTAATCCAATAACTGTTTAAGAGGCTTTGGTCACCTATTTAGGAACAGGTTCCCATCCCAAACCTAAAGTATGTGCCAACATATGTAAATTTAATTAGCACTTTAAAATAAAGATATGCTGGAAAAGGTAGAAAAGACTTATGAAAATGAGAGCTGCTTACATCAATAGGCCAACCCAAAAAAATAACAAAACACAAATTCAGCCTACTTCATGGATCCCTTTCCTCTTTTGAAATGGGCTTAAATAAATACCAAACAAGATTTCAGAAAGAGTCTATTTATAAAACTTTTGAGGTGCTGGGTGGTGGTGACACACAAAATTAATCTCAGCACTCAGGAAGCAGAGACAGGTGAATCTCTGAGTTCAAAGCCAGGCTGGTCTACAGAGCTAGTTCTAGAACAGCCAGAGCTACACAGAGAAACCCTGTCACCAAAAACAAAACAATAGAAAAAGAAAAAAAAGCTTGTGAGGCATTTATTAACAGAAGCATTCCGTGGCTGCACATGCAGGAGGCTGCACATGCAGGAGGCTGCACATGCAGGAGGCTGCATATGCAGGAGTACAGGAAAGTCGCGTTAACCTGAGCTCACTCTCCTGAGAGATGCTCTCCAGCGTGGGAGAGGACAGCTTCCAGCAGACTCCGCTAAGTAGAGACCGTGTGTCTGAAGATGTGTTCTTCATCTAGACACTGACCCGCTTTCTCCTGAGCAAGGTAGCCACAGGCCCACCCTCTTCCTGCATTTTCTCCTCTTATGCCAGTCTCTGTTTTCTGCATCTGCTGTTCCCACGGCAGCTCAAACTGTGCTGTCCCAGAAGTCATTTAGACACCCACCCTGCTGCCCTGATTCTGCCCCAGAAACCAGAAAATGCTCCAGGTCTCACTGAGAGGAGCCTGCCCACTGTGTCCTGAAAGAACTCCTTTCAACCATCTTAACCTCTGCTCGCATCACCCCGGACTCTTAGGAGCCCCTCATATCCAGAAGCACACGCCTGCCTGCTACCTGCTGCAAACTGCCATCCCCACCTTTGGCTCCCTTGACCCATGGATGTTATAAAAAGCCTATCATGCTTTCTTGAATGTGACTGTGAAATCTAGCTTACCAGCTGTCTGCAAAAGGGAAGGCCAGTTGGTTGTTCCCGGTCACTTGGCTTGCTTAGCCCTGAAATAACCACACAGAAGCTCTATTAATTAAATCACTGCTTGGCTCATTAGCTCTAGCTTCTTATTGGCTAATCACTACATCTTAATTTATCCCATTTCTAGTAATCTGTGTATTGCCACTTGGTTGTGGTCTACCAGCTAACGTTCCCAGCGTCTGTATCAGGCAGCGGATCCATGGCATCTACCTGACTCCACCCTTCTTTTTCCCAGCATTCAGTTTAGTTTCTCCTGCCTACCTAAGTTCTGCCCTATCAACAGGCCAAGGCAGTTCCTTTATTCATTAACCAATAAAAGCAACACATAGACAGAAGGACCTCCCACATCAAGGAGGGTGCTGTTTATCTCCACATTCTTCACTCGTTGCAGCTTATCTGACTTGGTTTCTTCTGGAGTTACAGACAGTTGTGAGTGCCGTGTGGGTGCTAGGAATCAAACCTGGGTCCTCTGGAAGAGCAGCCACTGCTCGCTATTAACTGCTGATCCATCACTAGTCCCTGGCTCAGTTGCTTCCATCGAGGCTATACTACACTATACTGAGCAGGTGTTTCCTTGGCTTGCCATTCCATCTTAGTGTGGATGTTGACGCCATCCTCCACTGGTTCTTCTGCTTATGAAGCAGAACAGAATGTATGATGGACGCAGGAAGAGGGAAGGCTGGCTGAATCCGTTTTTTGAGAAGTTGAGAGTTATTCTAGAGTGGGAAGGATGAAGTTCTTACAGTGTCCCACCAAGGTTCATGCTGAGAACACCAGAGCATGGGGAGAGCCTGGCATGGACAAGTAGACAGCAACAAGTCGTTCTAGTAAATTCTGAACAGGTCTGAGCACTTTATCAACAGCCCTATAAAGCAAGCATTTTATTAATGTAGTGCATTTTCCCCAAAATTCTATATCTGAAATCTTTGTTGTTTCAGTGACATCAGTTTTGAAGCTGTTGGTTTTCAGACTTTGGGCCGTATTTCTAATAAAAAGAATATTTACATATATAGTGACCCAAATGTATGGCAGACAGCAGTGTGACATTTGTTCTTAGGAGTAATGTTTTGCTCGATTCCTGCTGGCTTTGTTTTGCAGTGCTGATGATCACACTGTACATGCAGGGATGCCCCTCCTCACCTTACTTGTCTGAAAAGCTGGTTCGGGTGCTGGAGAGATGGCTCGGCAACTAATAGTGCTGCCTGCTATAGCAGAGGGCCCAGGTTCAAACCCCAGCATCTGCACCAGGTGGCTCATAACTACCTATGACCACAGCCCCAGATGATCATCCTACAGCCTCTGGCCTCCACAGTAACCTACACAAACATGGTGCACAGAGAAACTCAATGCAGGCATACACACATACACATAAATTAATCATAAATCTAAAAAACTGGTTTGAGCCAACTAAATTGATAGGAAAACATCCAAATGGGTTGCCGTGCCCTGTGCTGTCTAAAAAGGCACCGAGCATTGCTTACCGTGTGTTAAACACACACTGGGACTGTGAGTAGCACTCTGCTGTGTCCTGGAATGTGAACCGGAGGGTAGCCTCAGATGCACAGACCACTTTATTTCCTGCATACCAGTGAAAATACTGGAGCTTTTGTGGAGTGAAAGATCTCATGAAAGCTAGTGACAGTGGAATGACGTTGGCTGCAGCCGCAGACTCTTTGCACTAGCAAACTGAAATGTCTTCCAGCCAGGCTTCCATACTGTGCCGTTGTTCATTCTGTTTGATCCCGCGCTGGTGCAGAGGCCTTCACTTTCAGTGTTGCCCTGCCCGCTTTTTTAGCTAGTGGAATCTTTTGTACCTTGAGTGGAAATCTACCTCAGTGCAATTCATTCCTCTTTAGTCTTCACTGAACTCCGTGAGCACCACTGAGATCCGGAATCACGCCCTCGGGTGCTGTTTTGGCAGCATAGGGTTCCCTAGTGGAATCAAACTGCCAGGGCAGGTGCTTGAGCCCTTTGCTAACCCTAGTCTGTGTTCACCCCTGCACAGGACCTGATGCAATGCACGGCCTTTGCAACCGCGGAGGAGTATCACCTGGGAAGTCTGTCGCAAGAGCTGGTCTCCTGCGGATATGTGGAGGTGACAAGCCTGCCTCGAGGTACTGCGGCCCTAACCCAGGGCACCGTAAGCTATGTCTTAGAAAACAGCTCTCCAGCAGTGGCGTTTCTTTTCCATTGGTTTGTAGTAGGAAGGTAGTCTCAGAGGTCCTTATTCAAATGATACAATTAAACACACCTGTGGAGAAGGTTTGGCTTAAGATAAATGCACTTTGCTTATCTTTATAGGGTGGATCACTGTCATTTGAGATCAGGGGATGTGTGTGTTAGCTTCCTGCTGCTGTACTAAATACCTGCAGTAAATTTAAAGTTAATCAGGAAAGGTCGACGTTAGCTCCCATTTTGGAGAGTCCAGTCCATGGTCAGACCCCATGTTTGGGAGTCTGTGTTGAGGCAGCATATCCTGGCAAAGAGTGTGTGGCAAGGGAAAACGCCCCACAGAGCGACAAGGATCCTTCTCAAGGGTGCACATCCAATGACCTGTCTTCCTTCCAGTAGGCCTCACCTCTTAAAAGTTGCAGTACCTCCCAGTGTGGTGAGCTAGACCCAGTGCTCTCACACACGGCCACGCCACTGCTCCGTACGCTGCTTCACTGTTGCATTAGAAACCTATTTTAGCCAGCAGTGGTGGCGCATGCCTTTAATCCCAGCACTCGGGAGGCAGAGGCAGGCAGATCTCCGTGAGTTCGAGGCCAGCCTGCTCTACAGAGTGAGTTCCAGGAGAGCCAGGGCTGTTACACAGAAAAACCCTGTCTCAACGAAAAAGAACAAAACTCTGTCCAGAACCCCTGAGATGAAAAATTGGTCAGGGGTAGCCATGACCGCCACTGATGTGACCCTGCATCTCTTCATTTCCTTTGCCATACTCTGGGAACTGGCAAGTATGCTCCAAAAGGTCATTTAGGGGTTTTGTCGCTGTCAAAAGTCTACCAGGAATCCTGATGTTAGAAACCCAAGTAAGAGAACTTGTTCCTCTAACGTCAGGACTCAAGAGGCTGAGGAGGACCACAAGTGGGAAGCCATCCTGGGTTATGGCTAGCCATGGTCTTAAACACATAGAAATTTAAAAAGGAGGAGAAATCGTACATAACTATACAAATTAGTAACAATGTTTTAATTGGGATATTCTGCTTGTAATTTACATTATAGAAGATATGCAAGGGCTGGAGAGCCGGTTCAGAGCTTGCGAGCACTGACTGCTTCCGAGGTCTTGTGTTTAATTCCCAGCAACCACGTGGTGACTCATAACCATCTATAATGAGATCTGGTGCCCTCTTCTGGCCTGCAGGGAAACATGCAGGCAGAATACTGTATTTATAATAAATCTAATTAAACAAAAAAAGATATGCATACAGGAACTCTTACTACATTAATAGGTAAAACAAATACTGATGAATATTGATATATTCAACAGTATTAAAAGGATTTAAAATGTTATGGTTAAAGTAATTATAGTGGTAAATTTCATGATTGGCCTTAAAATTTTCTAAGTTTTTAAAATACCACTTTCCTTTTCTCTGTTCATTTTCTATCAGCCAAACTTGACACAGTTTAATTTAAAATTCATGGGGTGAGGGATATGAATCAGCTGTTAGTGTTTGCACGCACACAGCCCTGGCTTTGACCACCAGCATCGGTAAAACCACGTGTGCTGGTCCACACCTGTAATCCCAGCAGGTCTGGGCCGAGGGATCCATCCGAAAGATGTTCAAGGTCATCATTAATTACACACGGAGGAGGCCTACTGAAGAATGTGAGACCTTATCTACATAAGTATAAGAATTTTAAGAGACATTTAAAGAAATAACATATTAACTGTATATGTATTATTTTAAATTAATTTTGTACAAAGACATTTAATTCCTGATAGCTATATTGAACCAAAGCTGTAATATTTATTAACTGGACTACTGCTTACTGAGTCAGAACTTGGTGTGAATGAGCATTTGTAGATAACACTGCTAATGTTACAGGTTATAGAATGTTCTAGAAACAAAATTTCTTACTTTCCAATTTTCTTTTTTTTTTTTTTTTTGTTTTTTAATTTTATTTTGGTTTTTTGAGACAGGGTTTCTCAGTAGCTTCGGAGCCAGACCTGGAACTCGCTCTGTAGACCAGGCTGGCCTCAAACTCACAGAGCTCCACCTGCCTTCTGCAGGTGTTGGGATTAAAGGCATGTACCAACACCCGGCTCCAATTTCATTTTCTAAGATTTTCATGGTTTTTTTAAGTATTATTTATATGGGAATTTTGCTTGTATGTATGTCTGTGTACTATGTGCTTACCTGGTACCCTACAGAGTCCACAGAGGGTGTTGGATTCCCTGAAACTGAGGTTACAAGTGGTTTTGAGCCACTGTGTAGATACTCAGAATGGAACCTGGACCCACTGGAAGAATAGCTGTGCTCTTAACCTCTGATCCATCCTCTAAGATTTATTTTTATTTATATGTGTGTCTCTGTGTGCATGCACGTGTGTGCTGGTAGAGGGTGTATGATCACCTGGAGCTGGAGTTCCAAGTGGTTGTGAGCCACTAAACATGAGTTTTAGGAACAGAACTCAGATCCTCTGCAAGAAGAGCAAACACTCATAACCACTGAGCAGTCTCCCCAGCCCCTATTTTGGTTTTGGTGGGTTGTTTTTGTTTTTTGTTTTGTTTGTTTTGGGTTTTTATTTTTGTTTTGGCTTGGTTTTGATTTTTTTTATAAATATTTATTTATTATGTGTACAATATTCTGTCTGTGTGTATATCTGCAGGCCAGAAGAGGGCACCAGACCTCATTACAGATGGTTGTGAGCCACCATGTGGTTTCTGGGAATTGAACTCAGGACCTTTGGAAGAGTAGGCAATGCTCTTATCCACTGAGCCATCTCTCCTTGGTTTTGATTTTTCAAGACAGGGTTTTTCTGTGTATACTTGGCTGTCCTGGTACTAGCTCTGTAGACCAGACAGGCCTGGAATTCAGATTCCAGCCTGCCTCGCCTCCCAAGGCTGGGATTGAAGGCATGCACTACCACTGCCTAGCCCATTTTCACGTGTTAAAACCCTTCTTCAGTGGGAAGTTGATAGTGGAACATCTGGGGTTGTGAAGTGATCCCCAGAACAGATTACAACGTGGACAGGCCACTGTCTGCAGTTTGTCACCTCTCGACACAGCCTTGACTGACGTTTTAAATCACAGATGCAGCAAATATTTTGGTGATGGGTGTGGAGAACGCTGCAAAAGAAGGTGATCCCGGAACAATATTCTTGTTCAGGTAAGACAGGATCAAAATGGCTTTGGAAAGATGATTGCACTCAGATGATTGGAGTCTCCAGGGTGGGTATGCCTTTCCTGGGATCTTCCTATGCCAGTGCATTTGGGGTTTGAATTTGTCATCTGATTATGACTTCATCTGGGACAAATGTCAGGGTTATGAATCTCCTGGTAAGTCATCTTTTTAGAAATATGTTGATTTTATTTTATGTGCATGAATTTTTTGCCTACATATGTATCTGTATACTATGTGCATGCCTGCCTGAGGAGACCAGAAGAGGGTATTGGTACCCCTGGTACTGGAGTCACAAATGGTTGTAAGTTATTGAATGTGGGTCCTCTGGAAGAGCAGTTACTTCTCTTACCCATTGAACGCTTTCTCCAGCCCCTGGTAGATCAACTTATAAGATGAAAGTTTTTAGTACAAGTAAATCATTATTGCCTGCTGTCTTTCACTGAATATACAAATAGTGCAGAGCAGCCTTGTCACTGTCCTTATGAGGCACCATGCCTGCTGCCTCCCCTCCCCTTCTGTCGGGTTTCCATTCCAGATGCCTAAGAGAGGGACCCTGGTTCACACTTCTTGTCCTTTTAAAGACTGGAATGACAGGACAACGGCAGTAGCAGCCATGTGTCCCATTTAGCAACCAAGAAAAGGGAGGGTCAGATGCATTTGGGGAATACCCATAATCTGAGAACCAGTAAGTGGCAGAACAGAAAGATAGACATCCAGAAGAATATAAACTGTTAGGCCAATATGGTGATTCACACCCATATTCCCACCAGCCTGGAGGCTAAGGCAGGAGGATCACTGTGACTTTGAGGCTAGCCTGGGCCGCAGAGTGAAACAATAAAAAGGCTAAACCTTAAGTCACACATGGTGGCTCCAGTCTGTAGTTCCAGATTCAAGCAAGCCAGTTTCCTAATCAACCAAATCATTGTCTTCACTTACATTCTTGTGTTCTAGAGCTGTGGCTCTCAACCTGTGGGTCGCGACCCCCTCAGATCAACCCTTTCATAGGGGTCACCTAAGACCATCAGAAAACAGTTGCTTACAATTCATAACAGGAGCAAAATTATAGTTATAAAATAGCAGTAAAAATAATTTTATGGTTGGGGTGTCATCACGACCTGACGGACTGCACTAAACGGTCACAGCATTAGGAAGGCTGAGACCACTGCTCTAGAGGGTGCCGAAACATGGCTTTCCATGTGTCTCTGAAGAATGTTTTCTCGGGGGCTAGAGAGATGGCTCAGCAGTTAAAAGCACTTGCTGTTCTTGCAGAGGACCCAGGTTCAGTTCTTAGCACATGTACTGGTGAGTCACAACCATGTGTAACTGCAGTTCCAGGGAACCTAGCACTGTCGTCTGACCTCGCTGGGACCCAGGCACTCACAGTGCATACATACAAGAAGGCATAGTAAAGCAATAAATCTAAAAATAATGTATTCTCTCTTTGCCGAGGTTGACTCTCCTGTTCTTTGAATCAGGGAAGGAGTTACTGTGTTCTGGAACGTAAGAGACAAAACTGTAAGTATAGTAAAGGGTAGGCATGTAGAATTCTGGGTTGGTTTTTTTTGTTTGTTTGTTTTGATTTCTCTGTGTAACAGCTTTAATTGTCCCGGAACTTGTTTCGTAGACCAGGCTGGCCTCAAACTCATAGAGATTTGCCTCTGCCTCCTGAGTGCTGAGATTAAAGGCATGCACCAATACTGCCCAGGTGAACTCTAATTTTCTAAGAATAATTTGTCACTAGTATTCAGCACAGGGACATTCTGTAATCCACTTCTGCTTTTCTGTGCGTCACACAGTATTTAGCCTATCCCTTTCATCTTCTAAAATATAATTTTCAATTGTCTACATATGATACAGTTGAATTAAGAGTTGAGCCAATACTTGGTGCTTAGTAAAGTACACCATAAGTCATGTGCATGCCCGTCATCCCAGAACTCAAGTGGAGGCAGGAGGATTGTGAGATGGAGGCCAGTACCTGAGCTACAAAACCTGCCTCCAAAAAGAATACAGAAAAGAAAATTCTGGGCATGGCGGCTCATGCTTATAATCCTAACACTTGGGAAGTAGAGGCTGCAGGATAGGCTACAATGTGAGGCCAGTCTCTTGGTTACAAGAAAGACCCATGTCTTAGAGAGAGAGAGAGAGAGAGAGAGAGAAAGAGAGAGAGAGAGAGGAGAGAGAGAGAAGGCCTGCCCCAAATCTTTCTCTGCTCATCTGCTCACCTGAAATCCTATTCCTCAGGTAACCATGAGTAATCCCAGTGCCTGTCCTTCTCTGTGTTTTCAGGTTCACTGAGAGGAAGAAGATACCCACAACATAGGGGAGGAAAGGTGTGACCACAAAGTAAATGTACCAAAGTGGCCGCCTGACATCGCAGAGGGAGAAAAGGCCAGTGACAGGCCTTGCATTTATGAGCACTCATGAATATATAGATACAAAAAGGGAAAGCTATTTTGGAGAGCAATTTGGAATACTTAGCAGAATTCAAGGCATGTGTTTCTGTCTCCCCATCCGCTTATCCCCTTCTTTGCTGGGCTGGCTATAGCATGCTAGGCCTCTGCCATAGAGCTTAGCTCCTAGCAGTTCTTCAAGAAATACCTCAGAGCAGGAAGATAGTGCAACAGGCTGATGCCTGAGACAGTGGAAACTAGAAATCGCTCCCAAGGACGGCACTCAGAGTGTAGAGGTAAACTGCACATTCACCTTTAAGAAGAATAGCCGTGAAGATGTCCATAGGTAGAGTAGAACCCCACTCATATGAAAAACAAAGCAAAGGATGCATGTGGGACCTGTCCTTAGCCCTGCAGACACAAACAGGCATTCTCTAGGTTTACTCATGGCTAGACCAGGACTAGAGAGCACTTTCTACACCACTATGTTGCTTTAGCTCATTAAAAATTTATCTTTTGTGTGTGACTGCATCATGTGAGTGCTGAGTGCCCAAGGGAGTCAGAAGAGGGCATCAGATTTCCTAGAAGAGGATTAGCAGGCCATTGTGAGCCACCATATGGATGCTCAGACCTGAACCCAAGTCTTCTGCAGCAAATGCTTTTAAATGCTGAGCCATCTCTCATCTTTACAAGTAATTTGCCTATACAGTTGTTTTAGACACCTAACAAATACAAACTATAATGTTAGTAGTGATTTTCTTTGGATGCTGAATAATGGCACATTTATTTATTTATTTATTATTTCTGATGCTCATCTCTTTGTACTTTCTCAATGTCAAAGTAAGTGAACACATCACTTGGTTAGTTTACTGTCATGGTGAGCTTGCCTTTTCCTTAAATACCGAGACTCAGAAATCATGCAACAAACATAGCAAACGTTCTCGAGCAGATAGCCCACGTGACTTGTACGGAGTCAATGTAACGCCAGGTGACCCCTCTCCTAGGTGAAGCACGTGATGCAAGTCCTGGAGAGACATGAAACCCAGCCCTATGAGGTGGCTCTGGTCCACTGGGAGAACGAAGAGCTGAACTACATGAAAACGGAGTAAGCATTTCTCAGCGCATTCGTGAAGAGGACGGGCGATCACTGTGAATAAATATGTGGAGATTCTTAAGTTACTGATCAAAGCCAGCGCCCACACCAAAGAACAGGAGCTGCATTTAGATTGTCATGTTAGCAACCTCAATTAATGACAGCATGCTCTCAGCAGGATGAGTTTATCAGGTTGTTCCAGGAAGGATTTACTTTTAAGTATTTTTTTTTTTCAGTTGAGTTTGAATATGACAGAAATGTATTGAGGAGGTGATCCAGGAGAACCACTTTGAGAGGTGCGAGGTCCTGCCAGGTGTCCTTAGGTGAGGAAGGATGGAAGTCGCTGTACTTTCAGACCCTCCCAGCTCCCCCATGCTGTGGCTACAGGCCCAGGCCACCAGCTCTAGCTCTTTTGTTCTGTAGAATTAATCATCTAGTATATCTTTCTATTGAGTCTTTGTTTTTCCTGCTCCTGCAGAGGACCAGCTTCAGTTCCCACCACCACGTGGTGGCTCAATGACAATTTATTGGCTAGGTATGGTAGCTCAAACCTGTAATTCAGCACTTAGGAACCAAGACAGGAAAACCGCCAAGAGTTTGAGCTAGCCTAGGCTACAGTGTGACACTGTGTCTCCAAAATATAGTCAAAATGTTCATGGTACACAGGCTTTATCTGATTGTTTTAGTAGGTTAGTTTTAGGAATGGAATTACTCAGATCAAAGTAGTTTATAAGATCTCAACAGTTGTCGAGTGGCTTCTAGGAAGACGGGTTTTCAGAAGTGCACAGCTTTTAAGATTCAAAAGATGCTGTTCCTCTTTTCATAGGGGACAGTCTAAACTGCACAGGGGAGAAATCAAGTTAAACTCGGAGCTGGACTTAGATGACTCCATTCTAGAAAAATTTGCTTTCTCCAATGCTCTTTGCCTCTCAGGTAAGTTAGTCTACTTTGTGCAGATGGCCTATTACACAGCTTCATTAAACATCTGTAATGATAGCCGGGCGGTGATGGTGCATGCCTTTAATCCCAGCCCTTGGGAGGGAGAGGCAGGCAGAGCTGAGGTCGAGGCCAGCCTGGTCTATAGAATGAATTCCAGGACAGGCAGGGGAGTGGGAACCCAGAGGGGAGTGGGAAATTGGGTAGTGATTTCGGATAGTTTTCATAACATTCAATACAGTCTTAATATTCCTTTTTCTCTTTAAAAAAAATGTATAAAATCTGCCATCCACTGGTTCTTCATTTTTTGTTAATTGTATTAAAACCTTCACTTATTCAAAATGTATTTCCTGTTGCTGACACTGCCTTTGTTCTCTCTTCTCCATGACTGTTAGACTCAGCAGCCTCTAATCTGAGAGCCCAGCCATGAGTGACTGAGATCATGGCTCCCGTTAAGCCGCAGGTGTTTATCATGCGCTGCATCAGGCTGCAGGGCCAGTGCAGACCCCGTGGGAAGCCTCTGAGCTTATGGTGATTTGCTCACAGCCCTGAGGAGTCTCACCCCTGCCTCTTGTATAGAACTTCCCATAGGGGCTAGGCGTGACCCACAGCGCTGCATTTCTGAGATGTGAGCAAAAGTCTGGAGTGGGAGATACGCCTGTGTTCCGCCAACACACTCAGAACGTTGAAGTTCACCTCCCCCTCTTTCTTTACTTTATTGCTGTCTTTTATCCTCTTTAGTTTTCAAGTTCTACTACTTTTGCTTTTTCTGTTTTTTTATTGAAATTATTAAAAATTCCATTGTTGGGCAACACTGGCACATACCTTTCGTCTGAGCAGTCAGGTGGCAAAGACTGGTGCATCTCTGTGAATGCAAGGCCATCCTGGTCTACACAGAATGTTCTAGGCTAGCTGGGGCTACATAGTGAGACCCTGTCTCAAAAATAATTGAGTCAGGTGGTGATGGCACATGCTTCTAATTCCTGCACTCAGGAGGCAGTTAGGCAGATCTCTGTGAGTTCTAGGTCAGCCTGATCTACAGAGCGAATTCCAGGACAGCCATAGCTACACAGAGAAACTGCCTCAAAAGAAAAAAAATTAAAAATGAATTAATTTATTAAAATGTCATGTGACATTCCCTTTTTATGCCTGGGTCACACTTAGAAAGTGCAAACATGGTTTTTGTATCGCAAGCCAGCCTCCAAGTCCTCGGTGCTGGGGTTACAGGTGGGCATCGCCATGCCCAGCTGTACATTTGTTTCTTAGACACTTAACTGAGTGGCAACAGAGGCACCATGACATTATGCATTCCGTGTAGATGTGACGGTGATGGTAAAGAAAATTCCCTTTTTCCTTCTTTTCCCAGTGAAACTGGCTATTTGGGAAGCAACACTGGACAAATTTATTGAGTCTATTCAGTCAATTCCAGAGGTAATTATATCAGCTCCCTGCCTTTTTTTTTTAAATCAAAAATTGGCTTCTTGGGGGGAAAATACCAATTGCTCAATAATATGCCCATTTGAGTATAAAGTAGTGATAACTAAAAAAGCTGCAGAAAGTATAGTAAAGTGATGAAGTCAAGATAAGGGAGTCCGCGTTGGTGTTTTACTGGAGACTTCAGATGACTTGGCTGTGACCGCACGGTATTTTCAGTGTGACCCAGTGACACAGAAACAGGGCAGCTGGAGCCCCGTGGTGATGCCATGGCCCAGCATGTCTACCGTAACAGAATAACAGGACTAAGATTGGGAAAGAGGCCCCACTTTTCAATAAAGAGATAAGGAATGAATCGGGGCTGCAGAGATGGATATGTAATTAAGAGCACTGGCTGCTCTTGCAGATGACCTGTGTTTGGGTCCCAGCACCCACATGGCGGCTCACAACTGCTTTTAACTCCAGTTCCAGAGGATCCAATACCCAGTTCTGGTGTTCACTGGTATTAGGCACTTGTGATGCACAAACAAGCGTGCAGGCAAATCCTCATACACACAGAATAAAAGCAGATCTCTTTGAAGTGAGAGACAAGGAATGTTATCATGGAGCAGATACTAAAGAGGATGCATTAGCTTTCTCTCACTGCAAACACAAGCCTGGGATAACCAGCGTTTTAGTAGGAAAGGGTTCTTTTGGATCACAGTTTGTAGCTGGGCGTGCATTGTTTAGGCCTTGGTGAGGCAGCAGCTCATGACAAGAAGCACCTGGTGGGCAAGCTGCTCACCTCACAGCAGCCAGAAGCGGTGAGAGAGGAGGACTAAGATCCCAGCAGCCCCTTCAAGGCCATGTAACCAATGGCCTAACTTTTTCCCAGTCAACTTCACCTCAAAAGGTGTTAACTACTTTCCAGTAACACAAGCCAAGATGAAGCCTTGATGAACAGCCTCCAGGGGCCATTCAGGATCCAGACTGTAGCAGACAGAATGAACAGCCTGGGTATAAAATTCTGGAATCTTGATATGAGTTAGGACATTTCATCTGGATAACGGCTATCTAGATTATTCGTCGTCTAAGACGAAGTGTCGCTTGAGAACATGCTACATAGCCCTGACAGTGATGAGAAAGATGTACATGCGATGCCCCTCCCCCAGCATCTGGAGGATTGCCTGTTCCAGGAGTACTCCCCACCCAGTGTACCAAAATCTGTGCCTTAGACGTCAGTGTTTGCTGTGACATATGTAGAATAACAAAGAAAAAGAGTGTGCCTGCTAGACAGGGACACTGGAGCCACAGATGCTGACCCCACAGACACAGGCCCATTGTGTTGGATGTTGTTTTGTTTTTGTTTTCCTTCCAAATAGGCATTAAAAGCTGGGAAGAAAGTCAAGCTGTCTCATAAAGAAGTTATGCAGAAAATGGGTGAGCTCTTTGCCCTCAGGTACAATGTCCTCTTGTAAATGAAGGATTTCCTTTAAGAGAAAACATTTAACTATAAGAAAAACTCTTCCCCCATGAGAAGCCGGGAGGCTCCATTAGGACTGTCGGGAAAGCTGATGAATACAGAAGGGCGAAACTGATCTCCATTAAACATGCCACACGTCCCAAGACCCCCAGGAAAATAGGGCAGTGCACATCATACTGAGTGTGACGTTTTACACCTACTCCCTGAGCATCACTCTTCTGGGAGGTTTCCCCCTAGTTTACTGAGTTTAGCACTGTGCAGTGGTACAGATGAGGAAGACCTGTCTCCTAACTGGTAATTTCCTGTCTTTGCGGAGTGATGTGTCCTGGTTGCCATCGTCCGCTGGGCATGTCATCGAGCTCCCTCCTTTGCACATGGGATGAGTGTGTTCAAGGCTCCTTGTGATGTTTTCCACAGAAGTGTCTTCCCACCCCCTTAGATCAGCCTGCAGAGGAGTGGTTCAGGGTTCCAGTATCTGTGTTCCTCAGGCTCAGGGATGCTCATTCATGGTCATTCATTACGAGCATCCAGCAATAGAGCCACACAGACTTGTGTTCTCTGAGAAGTAGGGGAGATTGTTTCCCCCTCTTCTCTAGCCAATACAAGCAGAATCTGATAAACAAATTGTAATGCCCAAACTCAAAAGTTAGGACTAAATAAATCTAATTTGAGACTAGTTTCTGCTAAGCCTGACTTTCCTTACCCTGTTTTACCCTTTACAATAAGTGTTTCTGTTACTGCAAACAAAGTCTGAGCAAACAGGTGCTGGTCGCAAGCCTGAAAACCCGAGTTTGATCCTAGGCACCCAAGTAAAGGTTGGGAAAGACAGACAACTCACAAAGCTCTCCTCTGACCTCCACATGCTTCCCATCACACACACATGCACACGCATCTCATAAACAAACACAATAATTCTTTTAAAAAAAATAGGACTAGAAAGCAATTGAGAGTCTTGCTGCTCCCAGAGGATCTGAGTTTGGTTCCCAGCACCCACATCGCACAGTGCACAACCTCTCACTCTAGGAGGTCTGGCACCCTCTTCTGGCCTCCAAGGACATATGCACATAAATAAAAGTAAATCACAAATCTTTGTGATCTGTGAAAAGATTCATAGCTAAGTATGTCAGGTAAAGAGTTGAGTCTTGGGGCTGCAGCTGTCACTCAGTTGGTAGCAGTCTGCCTGGCATGCACAAGGGTCTGACTTTGATTCCCAACACTGCAGGGAACCATGGAAGCAAAAGGATCAGAAGTTCATGATTCTCGGCTGGGCAGTGGTGGTGCACACCTTTAATCCCAGCACTTGGGAGGCAGAGGCAGGCGGTTATCTGTGAGTTTGATGCCAGCCTGGTCTACAAGAGCTAGTTCCAGGACAGGCTCCAAAGCTACAGAGAAACCTGTTTTGAAAAACAACAACAACAAAACAAAAACAATAGCCAGGGTAGACTACTTGAGACCTTGTCTTTATTTTTTTATTTTTATTTTTTTTTCCAAGACAGAGTTTTTCTGTGTAGCCTTGGCTGTCCTGAAACTTGCTCTATAGAACTGGTCTTGACCCCAGATCTGCCAGCCTCTGCCTCCCAAGTGCTGGGATTAAAAGTGTGCATCATCATACTTGACTGAGACCTGTCCTTAAAAAAAAAAAGAAGAAAATTGATGCATGTGGTGCTGTGTGCCTTAAACCCCATTGCTGTGGAGGTGGAAGGAACCAAATCTCTGTTAGTACAAGACCAGCTTGTATATGCATTGAGTTCCAGGTTAGCCAAGGTAACAGTGAGATCCTGTCTTAAAATACAAAAGTTGCAAATTATACATATAGTATTATTCTATTTGCATAGCAAAAATGTTTATTTCTCTTGATAGATGCATACACACAAATCTGTTCATGGAGAAATGTACAGGTAGCCCTATCAAAGAGTTTTGCATTGTTTGGTAGTCTTAACATGCTGTCTCCTGTGCTTCTGCTTTCTTCTCCAACATAATGAATGAATGGCTATTTGTATTTTACTATGTAACATGCATTTACATTTTTGTTTGTTTGATTTTTGTTTTTTCGAGACAAAGTTTCTCTCTACGTCTCTGGCTGTCCTGGAACTCACTCTGTGGACTGGCCTTGAATTTACAGAGATCCACCTGCCTCTGCCTCCCTGGGTGCTGAGATTAAAGGTGTGCACCACCATCACCACATTAGATTAAGTACTTGTGATACCACAGTATGGGTGAAACTGGAGCACCAGTGTGGCAGCACACCCCTTAGTATTCCTAGTACACTAGAGACTAAGGCTTACCAAAGCCAAGCTAGCCTGAGCTACATGGTCAGTCCCTGCCAAGCTAGCCTACATGTACTGCCACCTGTCTTGTGTTTATGCAGTGACTGAAATAGAGGTGACCAATGAGCCCAGAGGGTGAGAGGAAGGGAAAGCTGCAGCTAAAAAGAAAAGTGAGGTTTGCCCATCTTTACCTTTTTATTTCTTCTTGGTTTTCCTTTAGAGGATGCACAGGTGTGTGTGTGTGTGTGTGTGTGTGTGTACACTTCTCAAATACTTTTCAAAGAACAGAACTTAAAACTGTTCTTATTGTAGCATGAATATATGAAATATAATAGGAACTGATTGTTAATTCACCATAAATGAAAGACTAAATTGTACTTTTTATTTAAGGCACCGTATAAACCTGAGTTCAGATTTCTTGATGACTCCTGACTTCTACTGGGACAGAGCTAACCTGGAGGAGCTTTATGATAAGACCTGCCAATTTCTCAGCATTACTCGAAGAGTTAAGGTATGTATGTTTTAGAGAAAAAGACATACAGGGTGGTGGTGGTGGCACACACCTTTAATCTGAGAGCTCTGGAGGCAGAGTCAGGCAGATCTCTGAGTTCATGGTCAGCCTGGTCTACGGAAGAGTTCCAGGACAGCCCAGACTACAAAAAGAAACCCTGTCTGGAAAAACCAGAGAGAGAAAAGGAGAGGGGTGGGATTCTCTGCTACAATTTATTACTGAAATCTCCAGCTAAGTATATTTAACTGCATTTGGAGACATACTCTGACTTCTGGTCATGTCCCCTTGGATTCCCACTTCCCTCATCTTTCCTCTTTGCAGCCAGTTTGGAGTCTTTTTCTCAGGAGACTGAGGCAGGATGGCTTTTGAGTTCAAGACTAATGTGTGCTACACAGATACTGTTTCAGCCCTGATCACCTAAAGGACTATATAAAATAGAATGGATTGTTACAAGAGGGGTTTTTAGATACAAAGTGGCATGCTGTAGCCCTGGCTGGCCTCAAACTCAGTCATCTTTGCCTTAGGCCTAGTCCTGGGATTACAGACACCTGGCTCCACTTCCCAGTTTTCTGTGTCAAAGGCTCAATTCTCATGTCCGTGTTCTTTGTTTTGTCTTAATGTTTCCTTGGTTTTGAGGTGTAATGAAGTCTCACTACATTACCCAGGCTGGCCTTGAATTTGGGGATCCTCCTGCCTCAGCCTTCCAAATAGCTAAACGTTTCATCTTTGTATGATGTATATGCCCATGTAGGTTTTGGTTTTTCAAGACAGAGCTTCTTAGTGTAGCTCTGGCTGTCCTGGAACTCTCTCTGTGGACCAGGAGGGCCTCCGCCTCCCAAATGCTGGGATTAAACGTGTACTACCATCACCCGGCTTAAATTAAACTTTTTTTTTTTTTTTTTTTAGTTTTTCCGAGACAGGGTTTCTCTGTAGCTTTGGAGCCTGTCCTGGCACTAGCTCTTGTAGACCAGGCTAGCCTCGAACTCACAGAGATCCACCTGCCTCTGCCTCCCGAAAGTAAACTCAGACTTCTGATAGCAGAGTATGGATGAAACTAACATAAATCTTGTAGGCCCTGTTTATGTGGGTGCTCGTGACCTGAAATCAGGTCCTCGTGCTTGCATGACAAGTACCTTATCAGCTAAGCCATCTCCCCAGCCACCACCTGCTTTCTGCTGAGGGTTAGTGTTTTCATTGTACAGGAACACTGCTGATGCTGCATGTGCTGTGTGGGGGAGCTAGGTGAGGGCATGGGTGCTATGGTATGTGTGCGGAAGTCAGGGCAACTCTCGGGACTCAGTTCTTTCCTTCCACCATGTGGGGTCTAGGGATTGAACTAGTCGTCAGGCTTAGCAGCAAGCACCTCTACACACTGAGCCATCTTACTGGCCTCAAAGTTACTTTTTCTTTTTTTTTAAAAAAACTTCCATTCTTTCTTTCAAACAGCTTCTAAAGTCTCCATTTCTTTTGTTGCCTCGAATAGTGTTTCACTGTTTCCTGGTCTACATTCTTTTCAATACAACTTCAGTCACGTCTCAGTCACTATATCAAGTAAATGGCATAATTTCAAAAAAATCCTCTACAATTGTAGTCATTGAATGCTATGTACTTCTAGAATATATCCTTTTCTCCAACCCAGACACTTGTCCTTTGCATAAAAATCCCATCAAAGGTGTCTACAATCAGCCGGGCGTTGGTGGCGCACGCCTTTAATCCCAGCACTCGGGAGGCAGAGGCAGGCGGATCTCTGTGAGTTCGAGACCAGCCTGGTCTACAGAGCTAGTTCCAGGACAGGCTCCAAAGCCGCAGAGAAACCCTGTCTCGAAAAAACCAAAAAAAAAAAAGTGTCTACAATCTGTCACTCATCTCGTTCTTCCTTTGTGTCTTCTAATGCAGGAAAGTAGATGCCTTAGCTGGTTTGGCAAGGCTGGTGACTGGTGCTGAAGTTGTTTTAGTAGGACTCAATGTAGTGTGAGAACCAGCTGTCTGAGACATCTGACAGCCTGGGCTGTCTGGACAGATGAAAAAGTCTGACTTTCCTGATGGGTAGGAGTGCCCAAGCTGAAGATGAGCGTGTGAGAGGTGCCAAAGCTCTATACAAATGAGGCCTCTCCAGCACTGGCTGATTGCTGCTATGCACTAAGTTTCCCCCAAACTAGCAGCTAAAAGCAGCTCTTTCTCCTAGTTTTATGGGTGGGGCCTCTCTCCAGGCTACAGGCATCTCTGAGGACTGCTAGGAGGATTCACATTCTGTCTATTTGTGTGGTGGTTGCTAGGCTCAGTCCCTCAAGGCTGTTGGACTAAGGTCTCAGATTCTTTCCACAGGAGCCTCTGTACAGAGCATCTACTGACTTAACTAACACACGCATGGTTAGAGTCCTAGAGTGAACAAGACAGGAGGCGGTATCTTACAACCTGATTACAGTCCTGGGCAGCTGGTCATTGTGCAGTGTTCTCTTGAAAATAAATCAGAGGCCCACCCATACTCCAAGAGCGCCAGGTCAGGAACATCTAGATGGTGGTTTAGAAGTCACCTGTCAGGATGGTTTTGAGAGAGAGTTTGGTTTAGAAGTCTTCTTTGTACAGCGGCCTACATCATCCTCACCCCACCCGCATGGTGCCACGTGACCATCAGTAACTCCCAGACACTCAGGAGGTACACATTCATATGCATAAAATAAAATGAATCTAAAAAAATGAAACTCTAGGAATTTCTAGGACGACAAATGTCCTCCAGGGTGAAGAAGACAAACTACTTCAGCTGCTGGAGACATAGCTCAGTTGGTGAGACTTCCCAATCTGCATGGAGGAGCCCTGTTCCAGCTCCAGCAGTGACTAACAGCAGGAACCGTGGTGCACACCTGTAATCTCAGCACTTATGGAGACAGCTGGTCAAGAGTTCTAGGTCATCATAGTGAACTGGAAGCCAGCCTGGGTTACATGACCCTATCTCAAAAGGAAGAGTACGACACCAAGTCCCCAAGCCCAGGCAGATGGGGTAACACACTGCAAAGGAATGGTAGTGAGCTGTGGCAGTGGAAGTGTAGTTCCGTGGATAATGTCGTTAGAATCTGATACTTTAGAATGGAGGTGTAATGTAAATTATGTCTCCATTAATTTGGAAATAAATCTCCCATGGTTTTTAGGTGCAGCTCTAGTTGTGAAATTTAAAATACTCGAATTTACCTCTCTTGATGTCCCTCTCCGTGTGCTAACTTTGAGTGTAATCGTTATAATGAAATGTAATGTAACTGCCGCCAAGACACAGGTGTCTCTTCCTCTTAGAATCAGCATGCCTGCACGGCACGCCGTGTTCTCCCGACCCCCGCTCTGGTGGAGGTCATGTTCACCATACTCCTCTAACCACATTTCCCTTCATGTGTCTCCCTCAGGCCCTCCACACTGACATGTTTAGGCATCCCCAAGCCAACTGTTACTCCCCACTAGCGTGTAGACTCCTTGGCATCTGCTACTGTATTTGTAGAATAAACACAGGCATTTAGATTTCAAAAGGAAACAAATTATATTCTCATTTTGAAACTGCTTTGGCCTGTACCAAATGCTTGGGTTACTCCAGATCTGAAAAAAAAAAAAAAAAAAAAAAAATTTTAGTCATCAGGAGACTTTTTTTAAAGACAAAATCTAAGTAGCCTGGAACTTGCTATGTAGACCATGCTGGCCTAAACTCAGGGTGCTTTTGCTCCAGAAACTAAGATTTAATGTTATTCACAACCAGGAAAGTTCCTTAAGATTTATCGAGTATGTCTTCATGAGCTTTTTACAGTACGTGCATGCAGGTGCCCGGAGTCCAGAAGAGGGCATCAGACCCCTAGAACTGGACTTGTGAGCTGCCTGGCAGTACTGGGGAACAGCCTCGGTTGTCCTTTGCAAGAGCTATCAACATTCGTTGCTGAGCCCAGGAGACTTGAACACTGCACAAATTGCTTTCAGGTTTTTTGTTTGTTTGTAAGCAATAGTTGGGAGGTAACATGTTTTCCGTTCTTTGGTCACAACTGAAATAGAGGTCTGTCAGCAATTTGAAGAGAGAAATAAGCTTAAATATGAACACATTAGAGGCCAAGACTAAGCAATCAGTAGACGGAAAGGACAAAGAAAGAACACAGTGCCTAGGTACTTACAGATTAGAAACTACAAGGTGGGCCTATGAGCCAGGAATGTGTCCCTCACTAGTGAAGCATTGGAATGCTCTTGTAGAACCGAGTATGACATGTTTCCACTTACACCTAGACAATACTGGCCAAACCTGCACCAGTATAATGTTCCCCAGTTTTACAGCTTTCCAAGAAATGTACAAGTACTAAATGGGTGTGTAACTGCTAGTACTCACATCCAGGATTGGGACACTCATCCACACCCACTCCAACCAGTCTGTCCAAGGTGTTAGAACCCAGGCCCTTTGCCAGTTCAGCGAGTAGTGGTGCCTTCCAGTGGTTTCAGGTTACACATAACCACGTCTTCAGCAGAGAGGTCCCTTTGTGCTCACTTCCATACACAACTAGAACTATGGACACTTGCGCCAGAGTAGTCTCTGCATGCTTAACCAAGTTTCCCTAACAAAATATTAGGGACCCTATCTTTAAAACTTCCATCAGGAGCTGGGCAGTGGTGGCGTGCTAATCCCAGCACTTGGGAGGCAGGTGGGTATCTGTTCAAGGCCAGCCTGGGCTACCGTCTACATAGGGAGTTTCAGGACAGAGAAACCCTGTCTCGAAAAAGAAACAAACAAAACCTTCCCTAAGGGGCTGGAGAGACGGCTCAGTGGTTAAGAGCACTCTCTGGCTGCTCTTCTAGAAGACCTGGGTTCAATTCCCAGAAGCCATCAAGGCAGCTTACAACTGTCTGTAACTCCAGTTCCAGGGGATCCAACACCCTCACACAGACATACATGCAGGCAAAACAATGCACATAAAAGTAAACAAATCTTTTTTTAAAAAAAAAGTTTAAAACCTCCATTACCTTTAAAAGGATTAGTATGCCAATGTTTTTTTTGTAGGGCCCACTTGTTCATCCCGGCTGCCCAACTAGCTTAGTCCCGAAATAACCACACAGAAAGTGTATTAATTAAATCACTGCTTGGCCCATTAGCTCTAGCTTCTTGTTGGCTAACTCCTACATCTTAATTTAACCCACTTCTATTAATCTGTGTATCATTACAAGGTTGTGGCCTACCAGCAAAGTTCCGGTATGTCTGACTCCGCCCTTCTTTTTCCCAGAATTCCGTTTAGATCCCCCCCCCCCAGCTCTGTTCCCCTATAGCTCTGCTATAGGTCCAAAGCAGTTCCTTTATTAACCAATGGAAGCAACACATAGACAGAAGGACTTCCTACACATTTTGTTTCTTTGAAGCTACAATATAAAGGGACCAGTGAATCTAACTACCCCAGAACTGCATATAAACAGATGTGGTGGTTCATGGAATATGGGACTCTGGGAGGTGGGAGTAAGACTGCAGGCTACCTAGGTTACAAAATAAGTGAGGAGTGGAGATGGCTTGGTGGTTGAGTGCTTTCTGAGTTACCACCAGAGTTAAGAGCTCAGCACCCATGTAGGTACAAATGCTTAATGCAAGCTCTGAGGGGTTCGTGGCCCTTCTGGCCCCTGCAGGAACCTGCACATATATATATACATTCAGAAACTTACACAGTAACAAAATTTCACTGCAAATGTGTCTAGATGGAGCCACTAAACACTGCTTGTCTTTGAGAACTAAGCAGCAAGAATTTAATAAACCATGTATATCTAACTGTTTTCTCTTTAAATATAAAAGCATGACAGTAAGATTTTCTTGCAGGTCATGAATGAAAAGCTTCAGCACTGCATGGAGCTAACAGACCTAATGCGGAATCACCTGAATGAGAAGAGGGCACTCCGCCTGGAGTGGATGATTGTCATCCTCATCACCATCGAGGTCAGCAGCTGGCTTGTTTCAAATGCCAACTTGGCAAATGCTCTGATGTGCTCCCATATTTTACAGACAGCATTCGCTAGTTTTGGCTGTAAATTTATCATGTACAGCCTAATATCAGATCAGCTGCCTTCCTCAGACCCGCAGCTTGCCATTTGACAAAGGGGTGCTTCCTCCAGGGACCCTTCCCATCACAGCAGCCTTGGGAAGTCACCGCAGCTGCTGTGATTATTCTGTCAGCTTGACACAGTGTACACCACCAGGGATTTGTAAGCCACGGGAAAAACCTCAGGATGAAGTTTAGCTGTTTCACCATGGAATTAGTAACTCTTGCTTTCTGTTTTTCTAAGGTAATGTTTGAGCTGGGAAGAGTGTTTTTCTGATCTTGTGACAACGAGAACATCACTGGAAGAGATAATTCAAGTCCTACAACCAAAATAAACCAGCATTCACTATTGGATGACTTCTTATGTAATAGGTATTTAAACCTTAAATCAACTGTCAGTGGGCACAGGACACACCTGTAAATTCCAGCACACTGAAAGCTGAAACAGGAAGATGAGTTCCCCGACAGACCTTGTGCTGCATAGGAACCCAGCTATGAGGGGAGCTGACTGGGGGGACACCAGTCTCTGCACTTGGAAAGCAGAGGCAGCTATAATATAGCAGGGCTGACTCTAGATAAAATAAATGTCATAATGACCTTCTGCAGCTCTAAAATATATTGTTGCCTGAATAAAAATGACAAATATGATGTTTGGGTCAACATACTGAAAGTTCATAAAGGAAATGTTCCAGCAGCTTTAGTGGCCTAATTTGAGTGTTCATAGGCACACTGCATTTCAGTAGTCAACCCTTTGTACTCTAGCATCACGTAAGCCAATCTTCCTACACACCTTATTATGTGCGTGACTCATGCACCACTCAACCACAAACATAAAACTCAAAACAATCAAGCCAGCACTCAGGAGGCAGGGGCAGGTAAATCTCTAAATTCAAGGCCAGCCTGGTCTACAGAGCAAGTTCCAGGACAGGCTCCAAAGCTACAGAGAAACTGTCTCACCCCACCCCCAAAAAAGAGATGCATTTCCAAAAACGGTAACATCAAATTCCAGTGGATGACAGGTGCATTACTTAAGCTAGTAAAACTATGGTGCCTGATAACATTTAATGTATTTATAAATGTTGCAAGGAAAAAAAAAACCCAAACAAACAGATTTTCACAAACATTTATTAGGATAAAGGTTTATGGGGGACACGTACTACAAAAAGCAGTAGCCAAACAAAGGAATACAGATTTGAATAGTTTTCCTGTATTTGAGTGGATAATGGTGGACACATTAAGGTATTACATCCCATTTTCATTTCCTGCCCCAGTATTGCACCCGGCAACCACACAACACTGTATACCTACTCTACTGGTCACTCTTCATCCAATTCAGCACTACTTCAAATTCTCTTATATGACTCTCAACTCCAAGATACCATAGAGCATTTGAGAGACACCCCTGCTCTACAGAGCTTACCGGCAAGAAGGCTATAGGAAACAACTTTGGGGACAGGAACTAAAAATTGACTGGACAAGCTTAGATGTCACCGTTTGAATTTTAAAACAACTTGGAACAGGAAAGATTTAAAACTTTTAACTTTGCTTCCATACAAGAGACTTGGAATCTGTTTATACGGTAACAATTTTTTAAAACATTGCTAGTAAAGAGTAGAGAGAGTTCAGGCTGGGTGACGTTTATCAACTGAAGGCTTACAGAGGGCACCTAAGAAACACCAGCCAAGTGCTTCCATCCACATTACCCCTTCTGCCTGCCCCAGGACTGATCTTGAACTAAAGCCATGTGCACTGGGTTCTGGTCATCCAGGCACAAGAAAATTATGCATCTAATGTCTCCTGTTTACGCCTATTAGGATCCTCTCTGCATAGCATGGCCCACCATCCTGGATTTTTCTGGAGTGAAGGTTTCCCAGGAGCAGTCACTTTCTGACCGAGACTGTGCAAGTCAGGCAAGAACTGACCCCACCCCCACTTTCAGACCTCCTCTTTCCACTGATGCTGGGTGGAAATTACCTTTCAGTTCAACTCTGCTGTAATACTACAGAGCCACGGCTATGCCGCCTCTTCTACCATCAATGGCTGTTGTCACAAACCAACATTATCAGAGCAAGTACAGATGCTTCTCAATTTACTACAGTGCTCTAACCCCCCGCCCCCCCCCCAAAAAAAATCAATAGGTGGAAAATATAAGATGCACCTAATTTGTCTAACTCCAGTTTCCCAACAGTGCCAGTTAGCAGATGTGATAACCAACTGGGATCTGCAGTTCACTCAGGAGAATCAAACCAGAGCTCACCTGCATCCTCAAGGAGATCTGAAGGTCAAAACCTTCATTGTCGGCTGAGGATAAAGCAGTGCAGAGTGCTTGCTTAGCACATGCTACAGGAATGCATCAAACAGCCCTGTACTAACACCTATAATCTCAGCACTTAGATGGAGGCAGAAGCTCAAATTATTCTGTCTACCTTCATGAGTTCAAGACCAGCCTGAGGGGGGCTGGAGAGATGGCTCAGAGGTTAAGAGCATTGCCTGCTCTTCCAAAGGTCCTGAGTTCAATTCCCAGCAACCACATGGTGGCTCACAACCATCTGTAATGGGGTCTGGTGCCCTCTTCTGGCCTGCGGTCATACACACAGAATATTGTATACATAATAAATAAATAAATAAATACAGCCTGAGCTACAGGAGACTCTTAGAAAACAAGACAAATAACTAAATTGAAAACGTTGGTAATTTTCTTGTAAATTTCATCATTTAAAAGCCCTGAGTCATAGCCAGGCTTAGTGGCACACACATCCCTGTCCTCTAAGAGGCAGAGGCAGGTGGATCTTTGAGGCCAGCCTGGTCTACACAGTGAGTTCCAAGACAGCCAAAGCTACATAGTGAGACCCTGTCTTGAAAAAAATAAAATCTTGAGTCAAATGGGACTTGAATAACTACAATAGTACTTTAGCAGGGCATAGTGGTCTACACCTGTAATCCCAGCACTTGGGAAGCAGAAGCAGGAGAGTTCAAGATTATCACCTGGCCTACCAGACCCTGTCTCAAATAGAAGGGACCACAGGGGCCTGAAAAGATGGCTCAGCAGTTAAGAGCTCTTGTTGCTCACCAAGGACCTCAGGTCAGCTCCCAGTACCTGCAAGTCAGCTCAGAACCATCCATAATTCCAGTTCCAGAGCATCCCAAAGCTGACCTGGGGCACCAGGCACACATGTGGTACACATGCATGCAAAACCCTTATATTACCATACTCATCCAATTTAAATCTATAGGGCTGGAAAAAAAATGGCCCGGCAGTGAAAAGCACTTGTTGCTCTTGCAGAGGACACAACTTCAGATCCAGCCAATACTCTTCTGCCCATAAAGGGCACCATGCACACGTGGTGCACATACATACACACAGGTAAAACATTCATTCACATAAGCCTGTTTGGTTGGAACCTCCAGCTCATTCCTACTTGATCCACAAAGCTCCATTCCTGTCTCTCTCCAAACAGCACTCTCTGAACAAAGGAAGGCACCAAAAAGCCCAGTTCTTCATATATCTCCCGATGTTGCCTGCAGTCCAAGACTCCACTCAAGCATTCCAGCTTTTGCCCACACTTGGGCACAAACCCAGCTTGTGGCAGACACGTCACCACCCCTCACCTACAGGCTATATAAGCTCCCTGCTTTAGTTTGGGGCTGGAGAACTCACCCAGGAGTTGCTTAGCTCAAATAAACCTGTTCTTTACTTTTAAACTTGGCTTGCTCTGGCTTACTGTGTCAGTGGAGAAACCTATTATGGGGTACAGAAAACCTATTATCTTGGTGGCAAAACCTGGGAGCTGAGGCTTCACGCAGGGTGGACTTGGTTCCCTTTATCTTCCTCTCCACCCGGGGTGATTGATTTGACTGGGTAAGTCACCCATTTCCCAACCACCGCCTACAGGGGTACTGGGTACCTCTCTCCAGGTTCAATCTCTAGTATAGGAAGAAATTAGAAAAATCAAATTTCAACTACTGAGTGTGTTCCAAAGTGGGTTTTTTCCCCCAAGATTTAGTTATTATACAGTATTCTGCCTGCGTGTGTCTACACACCAGAAGAGGGCACCAGATCTCATTATAGACGGTTGAGGCATCATGTGGTTGTTGGAATTGAACTCATGACCTCCGAAGAGTAGCCAGTACTCTTAACCTCTAACCCATCTCTCCAGCCCCAGAAAAAAAGGTTTTACAAGCCTATAGTCCCAACACTTGGAAATGAAGAAAGACTAACAAAAGCTCAATGGGGCAAGAGATGGATCCAGGGTCAACATCTGCTGCTCTTTGAGAGGACCCCTATTCAGGTCCCACATGGCAGCTCGCAACAGTCTCTAACTCCAGTTCCAGGGGATATAGCACCCTCTCTGGCCTCTGAGCACCAAGTACACACTGGAGGTACATATATACATACATGTAAGAAAACATTCATACACACAATGAAAATAAATGTTTTAAAGTTAAAGGCCTCATGGGGTATATAATAAGTCTGAGACTAGCCTAAGGTACATGAAACCACCCACCTCTTTTCCTCAAAATTTAGTTCTAACTTGAATGTGTTTCTCACTTTATTTAGCCAAATTAAAGCAGGCACTCTGAAATGGCTACAAATTTTTACAATTCTATTTACATAAAATGCTGGGAAATGCAAAACTACAGTACAGCCAACAGAGGAAACCAATGGAGACTTGATGTGAAAGACCTGTCTGGAATCCTAAGCAATTATTATACATATATAGTGTCAAAATTAACAGGACTGCACACGGAAAGAAAAATCAACTTTATTGTATGTATAATTTGAAGTTGTTTACATAGAAGTTATCTATTTCATTGGTATATTAACAAACACCATCACTTACTGAGATACAATGCTAGATAAGCACCCCCTACATTATACATTACACAACCCTAATAAATTTATCCCTGTTGGGAGTAAAAATGGAGGTTAAGAGATCAAACAATATGTTAGATGTAGCACAATTTCAGACCAGATCCAACTGCAAAGCCTTTCCTTCTTGTGTCCCTGTGCCAGAGTGTTTCTGTGTACTTGAAGCCAGAGGTTAGGAGTCATCACCACCTTTCTATTGTGTGTGCACGTGCCTTGCTACAGCATACACATAGAGGAGATCAGAGACAACTTTGTGGGCCCAGTTATCTTCTTTCACTTTTACATGGGCTCCAGGAATTGAACTCAGCTCAGTAGGCTTGCTCGGCAAGCACCTTTACCTGTTGAGCCATCTGACCAACCCTCTGCCTTTTTGAGAGTGTTACTTTATTTAGGCTAGAGTGGTTGGCCCACCAGTGATGCACAGCAGTGCAGCTTACAACTTCTAGGTGGTGTTGGGGTTCCCCAAGCCCTCATGCTTG